ACTAGAACTAATAAATAAATAAATAAATAAATAAATAAATAAATAAATAAATAAATAAAAAGAAACCAGTGAGCAGTTTGTGGTTTCTATCTTCAGACTTGATTTCTGCCCTTGATTTCCTTCCCTGACTTCCCTCACGATGGACTGTGAGCTGGAAGTATAAAATGAAATAAATACTTTCCTCCTCTTTGTTGCTTTTGGTCAGAATATTTGATTTGACTAACAGAAAGGAGTCAAGGGCAAAAATATTCTCCATATTTGTGTATCAGGTACTTCATTCTCTTTTTTTGTAGGAGTTGCATTGATACATAATCTATATTTTGTATGATTTACCCACATAAATGTATAATGAGTAGTTTTAATATATTTAAAATACTGCGTTGGTGCTGGAAACTGAACCCTAGTCTTCTGTACGATCAATCCATGCTCTTAATAGCTGAGCCAATTCTTCAGCCCATGAAGGGTATTTCTTGAATAAACATAAAAAAGAGAGAGCCCAGACCAATGAAAATGGTACCACCCATGGGGATATAGTCCTATAGGTGGTATAAGAAAGCAGGCTGAAGTGGGGAGGAGAACATGCGGGATCAGCAAGGTCTAGTTGGGGAAAGAACAGAGAAAGACAGCAAGGAAAGAGATACCTTAATAGAAGGAGCTATTGTGGGTTTAATGAGAAATCTGGCACTAGGGAAATCTCCAGGGATCCACAAGGATGACCCCAACTAAGAATCTAAGCAATAGCGGAGGGGCTACCTTAAATGCCCTTCCCTATAATGAGATTGATGACTATCTTAAATACCATCCTAGAGCCTTCATCCAGTAGCTGATGGAAGCAGAAGCAGAGATCCACAGCTAAACACTGAGCTGAACTCCTGGAATCCAGTTGTAGAGAGAGAGGAGTGATAAGAAAAGGGGTCAAGACCATGCTGGGAAAACCCACAGAAACAGCTGACCTGAGCAAGTGGGAGCTCATGAGCTCTAGTCTGACAGCTGGGAAACCAGCATAAGACCGAACCAGGCCCCCTGAAAGTCGGTTTCAGTGGGGAGGCCTGGGCAGTCTATGGGGCCACTGGTAGTGGAACCGGTATTTATCCCTAGTGCATGAATGGGCTTTGGGAGCCCATTCCCTATGGAGAGATACTCTCAGTCTAGATACATGCAGGAGGGCTTCGGTCCTGCCCCAAATGATGTGACAGACTTTGATGACCCCTCATGGACAGCCTCACCCTCCCTGGAGAGTGGATGGGGGTGGGAAGGGGAGATGGTGGGGGGAATGGGATAACAGAAGGGAGAGGGAATTGGGATTGGTATGTAAAATAAGACTGTTTTAATTTAAATAGAAATTAATTTTAAAAAGGCTGATGACTCATAAGGAGCAAGCTAATAAGCAGCACTCTTCCATGGTCTCTTCTTCACTTCCTGCCTCTAGGTTCCTGCCTCTAGGTTCCTACCTTGAGTTCCTGTCCTGGCTTCTCCTCATGATGGATTGCAAGCTGTAAGATAAATATTAACTCTTTCCTTTTCAAATTGATTTTGGTAATGGTATTTGTCTGTCACAGGATTACAAACAAAGTAAGACAGAAATTGATACCAGGATCTGGGAAATTTCTGTAACTGGCCTGAACTTGTTGTTTTGGGAGAAATTATGGAAGCAGATTGGAATTTTGGGCTGGAAAAGCCATTGAGTGTTCGGGACTTAGTGGGCTGTTGTGGGAGCTTGGAAGATAGGAATTCTGAGAGAGGTGCAGATGATAGAGGCCTGGCTTGTGAAGCTTCAGAGGGAAGAGGCCATTATGTGATATTTTGAGGATGAACATATCATTTTGGTCAGCTGCAGATGAAGAATCAGCTGTGACTAACAAGAGACCAGAATCACTAAAAGGAAACTTTTGCTTTATTGGGACACAGGTTAGCAGAGGCTGATAAATAAACTGTGTTTAAGAGACCAGCATCATTGAGGTGAAATCTTCTGGGAATATTTCCTCTGGGTATGTACACGGAATTTGTGGTTCAGGGGTGGCAGCTTAAATTGATAATGTTTAGGACTCTCCTACTTGGTACCGGTTTTGAAGGCATAAAGGGGTCATGGAGAACAACTGAAGCTTGACATCATGGGAGGCTGAGAGGCCATGGGTGAAGTTGCAGCCTCAGTTGCAGTGGAAACTCCAAGTTTGAACAGTCATGGAAAGAAGCTGAGTATTCAGCTGAGGCAGGGCCAGAATTCCTGAAGAGAACCTAGGAGAGGCTATTGATGAAGGTGCAGTTGCAGTTGCAGTGGAGACCCCAGCATATTAGAGATGCCAAGATTGCGGGATAACTGCTGAGAAGAGCGGCAACTGTGGAATGGAGCCAGCCTGAGCCTAGGAGACAAGCTGCATGTGCTACGAATGGCAAAGCACAAGAGGTGGAGCTTCGCAAACCTTAGGAGCCCAGGAGATGCTGAGTGCATCTCAGATGCTGGGTGTTGAGCTGCATCTGAGAATACACTGCTGAATTCTGGTTTTACTTGTAACTTCCATAGTTCTTTATTTTTGAAGTGAGAAAGCACATAACATTTTTCTTATTTTTATTTTATTTTATAGGAGTCTACAGTTGAGAGACTTTGGATAACGTGGCCCCTTTTTCTTGAAATTCAGTTAACTTGATTTAAATTGAAAAAATTTCTTTAAAACTGTATTTGGCATCAAAACAAAAATTCTTTTGTTATAAAAATCATCAGTATTTCTAAGGTGGACATATTTATGATAACAAAACCAGTTTTTACTTTGGAGTTTATTCTTTAAACAAATTGTTTAAAGTGACTGGAAAGGAAAATGTAGGTTATTTACAGAAGGTATCTTTATGTATTCAGAAACAAACCTGGTGACTTCAGAACATGCTGTCATCTCAGAAGCAGTTCTCAAAAGCTTAGTTTTCTCAGATTCTAAAGATCCTTCTTCATCTTCTACCTTGGAAGGCAAATAGTACTGTAAGTGTCACATGTCAGCAATTGTATACTCTACAACAAGGGGTCCATCTGTAGACATAGTGAGTGTTACTATAGGAGGCAATAGAGTGGCTTTTGTGAAAAAAAATCTGGTACCCCAGTGAAAAGTTAGCTGAACTGGCTTGTTTATCGTTATGGTTACAGCTTCCTCCTCTTTATCAACATCACTTGTTTGTGACAATTTAGTGTTTTCATTTCCAAGTTCTCCACTTGCAGAAAACTTTACCCTGGCCTTTGCACAGGATACAACAACAAAATCTCCAATATGGCTAAAGTCTAAGCATATAATTGCAAATTCACGAGAAGGCATCTTTACTGCACAGCTATACTCCTGTTCTAGGATTCCAAGTTGCTTAACATCTAAGTCTGTGGTGATATTTTGTTTATGCTATAAAAAGTAAAGCTTATCTGAAGATCAGAGTGCAGAGCTAGCCACACCAGTTAGCCACAGAGACCAGGCAGTGGTGGAACACACCTTTAATCCCAGCAGCCACACTAGTTAGCCATAGAGTCCAGGCAGTGAAGCCACAAACCTTTTATCCCAGAAGCCACACTAGTTAGCCACAGAGGTTAGGCAGTGGTGCCACACACCTTTAATTCCAAAAATCCCAAGACATAGGCAGGCAGACCTCTGTTAGTTCAAGATCACCCTGGGCTACATGAAAATGATCCAGTCTAAAAGAGAAACAGAGTTTACACAAAGGTGCTCCTAGCAATTGGAGTGACACACCTTTAATCCCAGCACTAAGGAGGTGAAGACAGAATTGATATGGCTGGGCAGAGAGAAGAATATAAGGCAGGAGGAGACAGGAGCTCAGTGCAGTCTGAACAGTCAGTCTGAGGAAGCAGTCTAGGCAGTCAGATGAAGCAAGCAGTCTGAGGACAGTCTGAGGATTTGTGGAGATAGAATCAACCATTCAGTCTGAGGTAAAGGGAAGAGCTAGTGGCTGGCTGCTTTGCTTCTCTGATCTTTCAGCTCCCCTCCCCAGTAGCTGACTCCAGATATTTATTTTAAGACCTTTTATTATTAAGACCTAATAGAACTCATGCTACATAAGTCCGTTAACAATGTCATAGAAACTTTCTCTTGATTTGGTGCTTCAAATACTAGTGCTAAGGTATCAGCACTATTTTCAGCCCTTAATATAATGATGTTTACATTACTAGTATATTTAATATTTAGGACAGGGATGAGGTTCATGCCCATTACTAGGTTGTGAACAAAGCAGAGAGTGTCGAAGCCTTCAGAGTGCAGGGTGAGCTCCACCAAGGAGATATGCAATGAGTCTATTCTCATCAGGTTCATGCCATGCAAACTGATGTCCCAGAAGACTTCATTGATGAGGTCCTTGAGTACTGCCAGCACCTTCTTCAGGATGGAGTCCTGGACCAGAGGTGTCTCAAACATTGTGGGTGTACCCTCTGCTCCTGCCCTACTCCTAACCAACTTACCATTCACCCCGGAATTCTCTGGGCCTGCACTTGCTGAGAGTGGACCCACCAAGGCAGGGAGGAGCTCCCTGAATCTGGAAAAACTTAGTCTTCCTTCCCCTTTCCACTGCCGGCCCAACCCTTACCAAGTGAGGAGACTACCAGGAGAGGCAAGACCATCCAGAGCTGCAGACATTGAAGTCTTGGCCCACACACATCACCGGGTGACAAGAGGCGATAGAGAGACTCCACCTGCACCCACTGGAAGAAGACATGGGAAGAAGACTGAATAAGAACACACTCAAAAACAGAAAGACCAATATGACACCACCAGTATCTAGGGACTCCATACCATCAAGATCTGAAAAGCCCAACACAGAGGATAAAAAAGAGATGGACCTCAAAAATTATCTTAGGAAGATGATAGAGAACTTTCAAGAGGAAGCAAGAAAATTCGTTAAAGAAATAGAAGAAAAAACAAACAAAAAATTACATAAAGTGGAGGAAAAGAAAAACCAAAAAATTCAAGAAACAAACAAATCTCTTAAAGAATCCAAAGAATGCCAAGAAAAAACAACCAAACAAGTGAAGGAAGCACTCGAAACAGTTCAAGGCATGAAAGCTGAAATAGAAACAATAAATAAAACACAGAATGAGGCGATGTTGGAAAAACAAAGGCTGGATAAATGATCAGGAACTAAAGATGCGAGTATAACTAATAGAATCCAAGAGATGGAAGAGAGAATCTCAGTTGTTGAAGACTCTCTAGAGGATATACAGTTATCGACCAAAGAAAATCTCAAGTCCAACAAATCCCTAACACAAAATATCCAGGAAATATGGGACACCATGAAAAGGCTTAACCTAAGAATAATACGCATAGAAGAAGGTGAAGAAATTCAGCTCAAAGGTACAGAAAACATATTCAACAAAATCATAGAAGAAAACTTCCTCAACCTACAGAAGGATATGCCTATGAAAGTACAAGAAGCTCACAGAACGCCAAACAGACTGGACCACAAAAAGAAATCCCCTCGACACATAATAATCAAAACACCAAACCTTCAGAATAAAGAGAAAATATTAAGAGCAGCAAAAGAAAAAGTTCAACTAACATATAAAGGCAGACCTATCAGAATCACTCCAGACTTCTCAATGGAAACTTTGAAAGCCAGAAGGTCATAGATAGATATCCTATAAACATTAAGGGAACATGGATACCAACCCAGACTACTATACTCAGCAAAACTTTCAATCACTATAGATGGAGAAAACAAGATATTCCATGACAAAACCAGACTTAACACATATGCACAAATCCAGCACTACAGAAAGTTCTGGAAGGAAAACTCCAACCCAATGAAGATAACTAAATTCACAAAAGCATAGGCAATAGATAATCCAATTGTACCAAACACAAAAAGAAACAGGAGGGTGAAATCTACAAACAATGACACCACCAGCAATAAATCCAAAATGAACAAGAACCAACAATCAATGGACATTAATATCCCTCAATGTCAATGGTCTTA